GCCGGAGTGCCCGGAGAAAACCACCGACCTTCGATAGGAAAACTGACAATCCTAGTCAATTAAAATTGGAGTCGAGTGCACCCGCACGAGCGGGGTTCGAACTCACAACCTCAGTGTTGACTAGCTAGTGATTACAGTAGTAACTACTAAGACCACTCGGCCACCGAGGCCCCTGGATAATTGAAGTTTCCTATGTTAAGCAACAAAAAAAGGGCCACTGACTTGTGTTTGAAGAAATCATAAACATGCTTTAGTTTGGGATACATTAATCCTATTAATTACATTTTAGATCCTAACACATGTTTTCTTAAAAAAAAAATCAAAAGCCATTTTCTCATGCTGTACATTGAAAACCTTGAATTTCGAAGCAAACTTGTCTCTAAACTTCTCCACGGTATATTTCATCAATATACTATTTTGATACTTGCTAGGAAGTTTGATGTAATCTGCTCTGTCAGCATTTATTAGATATTCTTTCACAGCGGTATGATATTTAAAAGATTTTGATATTAATAATATAAAAACTGCATCTACAAAATGTAATTAATTTTAATCTTCGCTACAGAAATGCGTTATAGAATATGTATTGCTTATACTTTCTGTTAATTAATATAGAAATAATCAAGGAAAATTAGGTTTAAACTCCTACAGTAAAAGTTTACCTTAGATCGCTTTGGTTAGTCTCAAGTTTTTTTTACATAAAGTGTTACTGTAAAACGTATTTATTTAGTAGTGAATTCTAAGCTTGATTTATATTCAATTTTCCAATTACCGCCTTTGCTGCCAATTTTAGTTTTTTTTTCCAAAGGGAAACAACTCCAAGAAAGTACACAATGTATCCTTGCCTTTACAAAATGTATGATAAGAACATATTTTGAATCACGTAAGCATCATAAAGTTAAAAAATGTTTTGTTTTTGGTAAAAGGTAGACAACTCATTTCTTAAATGTAAAGTTGCCCATTGCAATGTAATACAAAATTAATGTATAATGTGTTGAAATCGTTTGTCACATACGTATTTAAGTCATGTTGATTCTCATGTCTATTTAGTGATGAAGATTTAGCTGCAGTTCTGCTCAAATACATTATCATTACAAGCAGTATACATATACCGTCGATTAAAAATTACAGAGTGAAAAATACTAACAATCAAAGACCTTTTTATAACAAATTTCTTTTGTTCGTTTCACTCAATGGACAGACGCCCTTTCAAACCTTGTATCAATTGATCGTTGTTTGTTTCAAGTCCAGTTGGAAATATTTAATATATGTTCAGGAGGAAAATAAATTAACAATTGATGCAATAGGTAGGTTCTGTAATAGGGTGGACCGGAATGAAGGATTAGAAATTTGGAATACCACTGACACACAGATAAAGGTATATTGGATATGGACAGCAATTTAGCTTGCCACCTACAAACCCCTTAAAGATTTGTTGCAATGATTCATTAACTTACAGACAACCCGGTATTTTCATTATACGAGGCCTCAAATTTTACGTCCCCATTCCGACCGGACGTGGCTGCCATTTTTATACATTCCGCACAGCCACTCGGACAACCTAATTCGTTAAGACTTTTACTACCGATGAGAAGAAGACAATGGGATGACCATATTACTTTATCCCGGTCAACCCTATGGGACCTCCCCCTTGATAAAAAATTGGTTTGCAGCAAGAACAGGTACAGTTTCTCCTTATTGACAACGTTCAACATCATAGTTTAATCTTATCGTTGACATATACAAAAAATATAAATACAATACTGATCGAGTTACTAAAGGGGGGAGAATTAATTATGAAACTAGTTTAACCAGACAACGTTTCATGTGCTTGTCCCAAATCAGGAACCGCTTCATAAGTTGTGACATGCCATTTCATTATGTTTTTCGTTATTTTGGAGAATTTTTTTTATTATGGCAGATATTTTATTGTTTCTGTTAAATTCATTTACAGGTTTTTTTAGACTCTGGATGATTCAGAGCTTCCATTTGTACCTGTATATTGTATAAGATTATGCTGCACTCTAGATAACGTATGGTTATGTTTGTTGTTGGGTTGTTTTATTCAAGTATACATGTACCCACATGTCCTTTGCTTCATAATGTTGTTTCCTGTGAGCTTTTACCGGACAATGCACATTCAATTGTGTATTTAAACTATTTGTACAACATATATTATATTAGATTCGAAATCGAACCCAAAATGTAACTTGGTGGTTAACCATACTCATGACTAGGACGCATTATTTAGTACTAATGTAAAAAACGTGACAAGATAAATTGTCGAATGATGTAAGTGAACCACAATAAATGAATGATTAGTGATCTCATCGAATCGATTAAGCGGTTGATTCTTGTAAGTAAAAATGAACACCAACAAACTGTTTTAACGGCTTGTAAAGAACACCAATCAATCACTTAAATGGCTAGCAAAGAACACCAATCAAACCATTTGCGGCTAGCATAGAACATCAATCAATCATTTGAACGACTTGTAAAGAACACCAATCGACCATTTAAACGGCTAGCAATAAACACCAATCAACCATTTAAACGGCTAGCAATGAACACCAATTAACTATTTCAACAGCTTGCAAAAAACACTAATCAACTATTTAAACGGCTAGCAATGAACAACAATTAACCATTTAAAAGGCTAGAAATGAACAACAATTAACCATTTAAACGGCTAGCAATGAACACCAATCAACCATTTAAACGGCTAGCAATGAACACCAATTAACTATTTCAACAGCTTGCAAAGAACACTAATCAACTATTTAAACGGCTAGCAATGAACAACAATTAACCATTTAAACGGATAGCAATGAACACCAATCAACCATTTAAACGGCTAGTAATGAACACCAATTAACTATTTAAACAGCTTGCAAAGAACACTAATCAACTATTTAAACGGCTAGCAATGAACACCAATCAATTATTTAAACGGCTTGCAAAGAACACCAATCAATTATTTAAACAGCTTGCAAAGAACACTTATCAACTATTTAAACGGCTATCAATGAACACCAATTAACCATTCAAACGGCTATTAATGAACACCAATTAACTATTTAAACGGCTTGCATTGACCACCAATCAAATATTTAAACGGCTCTCAAAGAACACCAATCAACTATTTAAACGGCTAGCAAAGAACACCAATCAATTATTTAAACGGCTTGCAAAGAACACCAATCAACTATTTAAACGGCTTGCAAAGAACACCAATCAATTATTTAAACAGCTTAAAAAGAACACCAGTCAACCATTCTAACTACTTACCCTTCCGGAGCACCTGCGATCACCCCCAGGTTTGGTGGGGTTCGTGTTTCTCAGTCTTTAGTTTTCTATGTTGTATTTTGTGTACTATTATTGTCTGTTTGGCTTTTTCTATTTTAGCCATGGCGTTGTCAGTTTATTTTCGACTTATGAGTTTGAATGTCCCTCTGGTATCTTTCGTCTCTCTTCTATAGATTTGAATACATATGCAGTTAACCTCTTTTCTGTTCACAATTTCCTCATATTTTAACGTTTAACATGGGATCAATATTGAGATTTTTTTTTCTTTTTCTCTCGTTCGTCATTTTATTCTATTATGGACACTTTAATTTATAAAATGTAAACACAAAGGTCATTGTAATACACTGTATAGCGAGGTTATAATCTTATGCAAGTGGATATATCTAAGTCCTAAATATTTATGTTATTCTATAAGTGGAACAGTATAAAAGGAAATGATAAGTTAAGACTCTTAAGTACTTCTAAATAATTCGTGACCTAGGATTGATCTAAATGTTTATAAATCTATATAAAGGATGTATGGGGTATAGGATGATAGTATGAATAAATACATTGAATTCTATGGCAAGCCGTTTTACTATTTATTCTTACTTCAAGATATCTAATAAACTTTATACGATATCTCATATAGTTTATAAGATATCTTATATAGTTAATAAGATATCTCATATACTTTATTTTTTTTCTTTCTAAGATATCTGATAAACTTTATAAGATATCTTATATACTTTATAAGATATCTTATAAACTTAGGCAGAAATTTTATAAACTTAGGCAGAAATCTTATAAAATATATAAGATATCTTATAAAGTATATAAGAAAAGTATATAATATATATCATAAAGTTTATAAGATATCTTATAAAAACTAGATTATATAAGATATCTGATATAGCATATGAGATATCTTATACATTATATGAGATATCTTATACATTATATGAGATATCTTATACATTATATGAGATATCTTGAAGTTAGAATAAATAGTAAAACGGCTTGCCATAGAATTTGACTATTCCTTTGAAGTCCTGTTCGGTCATCTTGCTCTTAACGTTTCTACGTATTAATACATCAATGACTTTCAAATGTTTAGATTTGAGTGTTCCTGATGAAGGTCAATCCAGAAATTCGCTCCAGACCTACAGAATTTAGTATATGCTGTTTTTTATTTAACAAAAAATGCAGATAGTTAAGCGTCGGAAGATGCAAGAATGGTTGACTGGTGTTCTTTGTAAGCTGTTTAAATAATTGGTTGGTGTTCTTTGCAAGCCGTTTAAATAGTTGATTGGTGTTCTTTGCAAGCTGTTTAAATATTTAACAAAAAATGCAGATAGTTAAGCGTCGGAAGATGCAAGGATCGGTATTAAGGTGGATCATAACAATACAGGGAGATAACTCTGTAAAACTCAGCTGAACGTTTTAATCACGTTCTATTGTTAAGGAAATAGTAAGCTTCTCAATGATCAAAATCAGTGTTTGTCAAACTGCTATATATCCAATGAAATTTTTCCGATAAAGTGTGTGGTTCAAGTTTTTTGAAATTTTTATATTTTTGAAAAAGGATCAAAGTAAATATTTTGTCATAATTTATGAAATTAAACGAGCCAAATGAATTTTAGTCAATTTGTTTGGTACCACCTTAAATGAACTAATAATGCATTGAATTAATCCTAACGCAAAAAAAAAAAATTGTAGCAATTTCTTTATTACTTTTGTGTATTACTAATCACATCTGTAAGAAAAGGTTGACTACTTTGAACCTTTTTTTGATTTCATTTCGGTATGTTCGTTTCCACTGTGTGCTCCTGACACAGACCTTGAATTAGGATTTTTTGAATTTCCACAGCAAAATATTTGTTTAAAAGCCCTTTTGCACTTAATTTTGAACTGGTTACTCACAAAACAGTAGACAATAGGGTTCAGCACACTGTTTAACAAATAAGACCTTAAGGTCATTTGATAAATACACTTCCCAGTAAATGAAAGGGTCAACACATATACCGGATTTACGTACCGCAGAATTACCATTCCAGTATACGGAATGAACGAAACTATAAAAACAACAGTTACCAAAAATAACATCAGAGTCGTCTTGCCTACACGAGCTTTGTTGCCTTGTTCTTTTAAAGATATCTTTGATAGAGCTCGTCGAAAAAGTGACGTAGACTTCTTTTGTGGAGTGTGTCGATTATTCTTTGGTTTAAGTTTATCTGCTGTGTTACTCCGTTTTCGAAATTCATCTGAAACTCGATTCCAAAATACAAATGAGGCAAGTCGAGTTCGCTTCTGTTCTTGTTCAATTGAGTCAAGGTCATCTACTGTGTAACTACTTTGAGATATTTCCTGATTCGGAACTTTTACACTAGTTGACTTCAGGATCTGTCTCCTGTTCCATATTGCTTTACCGACAAAGGCATACAGAGTTATAAGAATGCAATCCGTTACAAAGTGTCCTAATAATAAGAACAAAACAAAATATATTGGATAATTGGTCTTTAACATTTCGTCCTCTATCAAACAAGTCTTCCCACCCGGAATTGTCATCGTGCCGTAAAGTATTAGCATTGGCCAATTAGTGCATAATCCAAAAATGGTCCCAATGAATACTAACTTTTTCCCTAATCTTGGAGTGATATGTTTGTTGTGCGGTCGGCAAATTCGTTTAAATCGATCCACTGCTATCACGACTAACAGAAATGTTGTTGTATTGTTAATCAATCCTGTTAAAAATCTAGAAATTTTACACAAGACAGGATAGTCAAAATGTGCGAAATTCATCAAAATGACCAGTTCAGTAGGCATTGATGTTGTGCAATTTATCATATCGTATGTCGCGAGAGCGAGAATGAAAACACGAGATGTTGATTTCGGCCATTTGAATAGATAAACATAGATAACAAGTGCATTTCCAGGCAATCCAATCAATAACAACAAACACACGTATATAAACGAAGGCAACAGAAAACTATAGTCAACAAACGTAGTTGCGTTCGGAAAATCGTTGTTAAAACCACTTATATTATTAAAAGAACTTGTAACGTTCATATTCCATTGGTCAAAAGTTGTAGACATCCAGGAATAAGTTGTACTATTGAGACCTGATTCGCTTATCGGAAGAGCAGACGACATCATGTACGACCAGTTGTACAACTGTTGTTTAACTAACCCAAAAGGTTGGAGCTGGATAATAATTCCATTTTCATTATCAAATTGTAATTGTAAAGTATCCGTGACCAAAATATAGCAAAACTATAAGAATTGATACTCCTGTTGTCACTAAAGATTCTGCTGTCCTCTTCAGTCTGTCTGAGCTTATCACTTATAACTAAGTATTCTTGTTACGAGAAGCTTGTATGTCAATTGATAACTCTGAAAAATATGTACAATGACATGTAAATAAATTGTCGTAAGCAGTTTTATATTTATAAAATTTAAATGTAAATTACAGTACATGCATAAAGATTTACGCCTATTCCTCTTAAGATGATATAATTAGATAAAGGACGATGACACTGGATAATTTAATTTGTAGGTTTTCTGAGGAAGTGACCGGGGATGTTTGAAACTAATATGCTGGCCTAGTAAGAGCTAAAAATAGATAAATCAAAAGCTGCCCAAAATAGAAGCAAGATGAAATTGGGAACTAAATCGAAAATAAATTTCCTCGCGTATGTGCCTTCCCAGCGACAGGTGAAAATGTATATTCCGTCTGCGAACAATCCTCCTGCACCCTCAAAAAATCCAATGATCGTCCTTGATACATCTAAGACAGTAATCAGTTAATTTTTTTCTGCAGTATATTAATTTTATGACCTGTAGAGAGAGAGAGAGAGAGAGAGAGAGAGAGAGAGAGAGAGATTTGTAACTGTAAGATAACATTCAATTTCAGGTTTACATCACCGGTCCCATCAACCCTAATCAATATAATTGTCAGCTCTGTGTGTAATTAACAAAGAATTCTGCTGATCTTTTATATTTATGTAGAGTCCTCAGCCAAAAATAAGTGCCTGTATATTCTTCGCAATAATTTATATCTATATCAATATTGATAATTAAAAATTGGAATAAGAGATGAAACATTTAGCACAATTGGTAGGAGTGACGTCAAAAACATTACTACTGGAAGGTGAAAAAGTTATGTTGTGAGAGAGAGGATATCAAAAGGACAACTTAAATTAAAGGTCCTTTAAAAACAGATAAGGCCTAGGCAAAAAAAAAAAAAAAAAAAAAAATACGACAAAAAGACAGACAACGATAATAAACTTAATACCGAAAACCAAAAATTGGAACAAAATTTTAACAAACTGGATTAATTAATATCATTAAATCTAACAATCGCAAGTTATTTATCAAATGTAAGGAAACTACTTTACAGCCCAGAAAGATATGTCGTAGAACATTTACTAGAAGCCGAGAAATGAAATTTGATTCGTTTATGTAGTTTGAGTAGCCAATACATACAAAGGACCTTCAACTGTTCAGAGAAGGCATAGCTTAAGCTGAGATGTAGCGTTGACATGATTATTTACTATTTTCCTCTCTGTGGAGCACAAGGCTTTGAATGTAGAATTTATAATTTCATTCTCAAGAACGTCCGTATTTCGTATTTACGTCATGCCACCGCCACATTGTTGGCTGCTTTGTCTACTGGCACAAACAAAAAACGCTTTTCGAGTACCTGATTTTTTCAATTTCTAAATTATAGACGAAATGTCATATGCCAAACATTAAGACATTCATTCAAAACAAGAATAAATTGACTTTTTGTCAGATAACTCTTGTTTACACCAATTTTTACAATAGGATGAAAAAACAACTTGAATGACCTGACGACACTCTTTCAAATTCATTTTTGACAGATGACGATATCAACTTCCGATACAAATAAAAACTGACCACCAGGATATACACAAGCGTGCTGGATTTAAGTGGCGTTAAATATCATCTATCAATCAAATTTAATGTATTACTGCGTAACATGCACATGTACTTTTAGTTGGATTATCTCTATCATCATACATGTATAGGATCAGGATAGGAAACAATTCAGGAAATACATACATTTGTACATGTACGAGGGTATGGATGGAGTTTACAGAATAGGGAATAATGGGCCAAATCTACAGAAGAAATAACCCAAATGAGAATGGATAGAAAAAATGCTAAAATATACAGAATGGAGAATAATGTGGTGCTAAAATATACAGAATGGAGAATAATGGGGTGCTTACATATACAGAAAGGAGAATAATGGGGTGCTTACATATACAGAAAGGAGAATAATGTGGTGCTTACATATACAGAAAGGAGAATAATGGGGTGCTTACATATACAGAATGGAGAATAATGGGGTGCTTAAATATACAGAATTGAGAATATTGGGTGCTTACATATACAGAATGGAGAATAATGGGGTGCTTAAATTTACAGAATGGAGAATAATGGGGTGCTTACATATACAGAATGGAGAATAATGGGGTGCTTACATATACAGAAAGGAGAATAATGGGGTGCTTACATATACAGAAAGGAGAATAATGAGGTGCTTAAATATACAGAATGGAGAATAATGGGCCAAAAAATATAAAGAATAGAGAAAAATGACATAGAAAATTAAAAAATACAGAAATAAAGGACCCCAATCCAGACCCTCATGTACTCTACGTCGTGTTGTTGTTTTATGCAATTCCTGAACAAGTTCAAGAAAAGTGTTTTTTTCTTTAATCTGAAAAAGTTGATTCATCGCCGAGCGATAAAATGTCCTTAAATGTGTAAAGTTTATCAAGAATTTACAGAGTAAAGTAACGGTAAATACTCCATATGGATGTGCTTCACTTACAGGAGGATAACACATAGATGGAGAAGTAAAGAAACTCGTGTCAAAAATCCGTTTTATTTTGCCCTTAGTTTAAAAATAAGATTGACCATACATTATGACATGCTTTTAATTTGGATGTGGGATATAAGGGTTAAGAAGTTGGAATATGAGATAAAAAGTGGGGATCTGGTAAAACGGGATAAAAAAGGGGGTACTGGGAAAAAGTAGGGAAAAATAGGATTTGGGAAATGAGCAGCTGCACTACCGTTTCACCCCCTTCAGTCTAACCATATTTTGTTCTTTAGAGTCATATTTGATTCATGGTTTTGAGTGCCCCCGTTATATTCTTTTGTTATGGTCTTGTATATTAATTAATTGATGTAAAAAGAGCTGTTTAACACTTCTCCATTTTCGTGTTTCAAATGTGATATAAATGATTCCATTGTAAGATAATAATACTAGAATGAAAATTTAATATATTGAAAATTTTAAGTTTTTCAAAATTTTGAACGTAAAATCATCAAACATAGTTTTTTTTAGAATTTGTTATTTTTTAAAATTTTGCTAGAATATATTTAATCTAAAGGGTAATAAAGCTTGCTAAACTAGACAAAAAAAAACATGATGCCGCCATTTACGCAGATCATGTTTTGCTCCTTAACAATGAAGAGATCCAGCAGCAAATATTTCTGTCCTAATATGTGAGCTACAGCTAGAATATATACACGAGGATCTGCATGTGGGTCCTTTAATTCTGTTTTCTTTAATTCTTACGCCATGTTTTCTTATTATTTATACATTTTGCCCATTATTCTTTATTCTTTATATATTTGCATGCCCTTATTCTCTGTTCTATATTGTTTGGCCTTTTTTTCTGTAGTATTTGCTCATTTTTATCTATTCTGTAAACCCCATCCAGTCTCTCATACATGTGTTCCGATAATGTTTCTGGGGTTAAATACCAGGGTTGCGTTCAATACCGTATTAGCTTGTAAAGCCGCTATGTCTTAGATATCTATCTATGTTGAACAATATACTAATAGCTAGGCTATCCAAATGACGTCATTAATAGTAACCTATCGGACGCCATTTTGGATTTTCTAGATAACATGAATTTTTTATGCTATTTAGATCTATTTGGCGGCTAGCCTAGCTTATACGTTCAGTAGTCGAAATCTACGTAGCCCTACGTAGCAGCTATGATATTGAACGCACCCCAGCTATGTATCTCTATTGATGATCGCGAATGAAGTCAGTATTGATTGCAAGCCAAACTGAATTATTACTGTACAGTGAAAATCTTTGAAAACTTATCAACATTGTGATGACAAATTGTTAAAGTATTCCTTTTTGAAAATTCCAAAGAAGAATGACTGTTTCAGCCTGACGCATAAAGGAACAGCTCACATAAAAGTAAGGCACTACAGGCTTTTAAAACAAGATATGGCAACACGTAAAGAGGAGGAATATCCCAAAAGGGGGAGCGGGGTAAAAAACTAAAAAAAAAAGACTGACAATAAATGGTCCAACGAATAAAATACGAAAAAACTGAAGTCTAAAAACACAATGTCGTCGCGATAAAGCCTTTTTGCGTTAACGCACCCAATAAGTAGTCCATCAATAATTAGTAAAAAGTAAAGACATTACACAGAAAATTAAAATGCGATATGTTGTTGAATAAAAAAAAAATAAATGGAAGATTTAGTAATTAAACTACATCAACACAACTACATCAAAACCGGGTTTATCCGCCCCTGTTCCACCAGCGACACCTGTTGCATGCTAACGCTAAATCTAGTAAGTTATAGTCGAGGAAAAGACTCTGTGTAAAAAAGTGTATGGTTTAATCATATATGTAGCTCCATAATAAGAGCACGGTTTCTTACCCCCTCCCCAAACCCAATTCCGCCTCTGATGCCAATACTGAATTACAGATCTACTAACGGTGGCGATAATCTTGTAGTCTTATATTCCACCAGCAAAGGTATCGACAACTATTATTTAATTTTGTTTTGCCAACCACAAAAAAATATTTTTCGTCGCACATTTTAAACATTTCTTCATTGTTCTTGGTGCAAACACTTTTTTTTACAAAAGCCTAAAAAAACAGGACTTCAGAATCAAATGATAATAACTCCCTAATCTAGAATAGAGCTTCAAAGGAAAAAAATATAAATAAAAGAGAATATATGATGGGTAAATTAAGTTATCTTGACTCACCCTTTCCTACTGCTTTTGTTTTGTTCAATTGAAGTATGTAAATTTGAGCAAACTAATTATAAAATAATTTATTAGGAATTTTCATAACGTGCCATTCTTGTGACTACATCCTATT